GTTTATCTAAGCTAATAAACCGATAATTAATGAATCAGGAGATTGTCGTCTAGATTACCATAGAACTTCAAAATGTTTTTTTTCGATGAAAATATCTGAAAATCTGAAGTTAGTTTCGATCAATCACAAATCTCAAAATAATCGATGATTTATGACGATACGTCGGCGTCACTAAAAAATCGACGATTAATCGCGATGCATTTACAGTACTAAAACAAGTGGTGATTAATCGCGATATATATGAATTACTCAAAAAGTCGACGATCAATCGCGATTAATCGTTAACTTTTCTGTAAATCGCGATAAATCATCAAAACTGAGGCAATTTTGACGACATGGGTTATTACTGTATTTAATTGATTTTCGTAGTTTTCTTTATTTCTTTGAACTTCTAAGAGTTCCTATTTGCAAACGACTTCTTGAATTTTGTGGTTTCCGTTTTTCAATGAGTTCCTAAACTTCATTGATATACTTGGAGTCCAAGTTTCGTGGCTTCATTGAATTTCGATGGCTCCTGCGGTTCGTGAAGTTCCTAAGATTCTTCTCATTAAACCTTATTCTTTGGTTTCTAGATTTTCAGACGAGTCGATAATGATGAGACTCGACAAGAAAAATATATGACATTCCTTTTTGTTTTATTCTCTTAGTCTTGTGTCTATGAAGGACATTTTTTAAAAATTCTTCGTAACATTCTTCATCATGAGATGTTTTCTTCATCGATCATTCTTTTTCTTCCTATTTTACTCTTGGAGAATGCATAAGATCCTTCTCTTCAGTTTCATATACATCCTCCGAATTCTCTGCATTCAATGCGTATCTTGAGTTCCTAATATTTTATTGACTCTTGGCATTTCAGCGATAATTTTTTTGTATTTTACAGTTCTTGTTGATTCATCAGGTTGCTACCGGTCTACAAATTCCTGTGGTTTTCAGACTACCTTGTATTCTTCGAAATACACGCATGTCTAGCTTGATTTGAGTTTTTTGAAATCTTCTAAACTCTAAAAATTCTCTGACTTTAACCTTTCTTGAATTCTTTAGCATCTATGTGTCTCAGACCATTTAAGTTTGGTACATAGTTTGAATTCCCCCAACTCCTAGGTTCTGTTTAGCTTCTCAGATCGTTACGAATTTTCTTATACTTTGTTTCAACATGCTTACACTTTCCCGCTTTATAACTTCAAAACTATCAGAAAAATTTGTTATTGATATTCTATAATGTTTACTTATTAGTCTCTTTCGTTTGTAAGAATAATTGCTGTTCGCTACTGGTTCAGCAGATGATAGCTTGAGTTATCATTTTTCATCCTTTCTATAAATATTTCTTTCTTTGTGGCATCATGATAATACATGAGGAAACAATCAGAATATTCTGTAGTTTCATTAGAATTCGTTGCATTGTACGAATATGCTTTTTATTGCTAACAATACATAACTTATTGAATTGTGTTCGAAATAAAACAGATTCTACTCCTACAAAAATACTTAGAAACATTGTAAACTAGTAGATTTCACTATGCTACTTCGAATCACATAAAAACTTATATTACCTAAGGGGAGAGTTAAATTATTTCAAATACTGAAAGTAATATTATATATAAAGTAGAATTCATATTTGATGTGAGTTCGATTTGCGTTTCGACATTAGATGTTCACAGGGGCGGCGGAACGTTTTGAATCTAGGGTAGGCTCAATATTTTTTTTAGGAGCCTTACCGACAGGTTAAAAACAGAGAGGGTAATTTTTATGCTATGCCATTCAAATAAAACACAATTAGTACTGTTTATTTCGAACTCAAATTTTTTAATGCATAACATTAGTGCAGATCAGTGATGAGTTTGCAAATTGTGGCAAAAATTTGTATTCAAAGAGTCACTTAAACTTTTGTTTTTGATTGAATAGTAACCTTCAAATATGATCTATCGGATGCAAAATTTTTGGATCCGAAGCCAGGTTGGTAATCCTCGTACTCTCAATGCAATTTTTTAACTCCCAATCTGATAATTATTTGAAAGATACTACATTTTTTTCGATTAATTTTTCGGTGATCAGCATATCCTACACATTTTCCAGACAATTTTAACGGTAATCTCGTAATAACCAAGTTATAAGCGGCTCTTACGTGCAGCTAGAGTCCGTCAGGTCTGAATTCGAGGACTTGTACCTGGGTCCAGATCTGACTCTGGTCAACAAACAAATTTCAGATCCAAGCTCGAAGTCGATTAGATTTTGAACATATCTGATGAGCTGCAGTTTGCAAAGAGTTTTTGATTTGTATTACTGGAAACTAGGATTATGACGACGTAGCAGTGCTCACAGAAAAGGAATCTCATTGTGAGGTTGTTCAGCGTGTTGAAAATATTTGATTGGCATCTGAGATTAACTGTAGAGAGAGGAGAGAATTTTTGACATCGTCCAGCAGATATGATTGTAAGTATTCTGTAAGGTTATTCTTCATTTGTAACAAAAAAGCATAAAATGAACTCATTGCCAATGTACGTTGAATACTTAGTCATACGAAATTTAGGTTTTTTTCCTAAAAATATTAGCAGTTACTGGTGACGACAGCAAAAATTTTCAAGCAGTAGACTAGTTTGTCAATCTGATAGAGTGAGAAGCAAATGTTTGAGCCTCTCTTAGCCTACGAAACTTAAATCTTGATGAGCTTTCGCCTACTCGGGCCTAATGGCTCCGCCGCCTATGACTGACACTGACTCTGTAACAATGTGTTATCTGCCAGAAAAACTTGAAAACTAAACAATAATAGAAAAACTTTACATTTAATAGAGCCTACCAAAGCCTTAATCTGTCCAAGTTTGAGGCAAACTTTAGTATAGTCCTCCACTAAACTTGAAATCCATGTCCTGCTCTCCACATTCTTTCCTTTCTTCGGCCTCATGACAAAAATTCAAAGGGTGAGAGTGTAGGATGAGGTTTCGCCATGAGGTCAAAGAACGATAAGGATGTGGAGAGCCCCATGTCGGGAGAATCACCGCGATTTTCGCGATTTTCTAAAAAATTGGTGTAAAATCGTGATTTATCGTATTTCTTTAAAAGGTCGACGATTATATCAGATTTTATCGCGATTATGAGAGAAGAGCTGATTTTCAAAAATCATTGATAAATCATGACAATTATTCATTCACCGTTTTGTTATGAACACACACGGATATATAAACAACGCCGTTCAATGCCTAACAAATAAGTTTTCGAAATATA